GGTCTAAGCACCATATTGAGATCGGGTCTCAAGTGTGGGGGCTTGGAGTCCAAGTTTGGACAGGGACCTAGATCCCGTGCCAGGAGTGGAATGGGTTGGTCTTGTTTGTGCCTAGGGTACAAACGGGACATGTGTTTTGGGGTACCCTGCTGAGATACATTGGTTCGTGAATCGTCGTTTCCATGACACGGTAGGACTTGGCTATGGTGTAGCATCGTAGTAAGAACTGAAATATGAAAGATGGTAAATTGATTCTGATTGCTCAACCCTTGCTTGAAAGTAGAATAGGTGCTTACCTAGAATGGTTAGCTAATGAAGTAATCATGACTGCTAATTAAAGTTGATCTTAAGGACGTACTTCTAGTAATGCTTTTTGCAAATAAAAAGAAAACAACAAACCCATATTGCCTATCATACCCCTTGGAGTCGGTAAACTATTCCCACTAGTCGTGTACGTCTTGCGAGTACATTATGTACTCAGGGTTTATTTTACCCTGTTGTAGGTGCAGTTTGAGGAGTAGCTCTTGTGTGGAGGATTCTTCTAGTGGGCACAGATGGATCCTTGTATCATTTCCGCTAGATGTTTATTTTCATTCCGTTGTTTAATTATCGTACTCTAAACCCTGATATTGTAATAAATAATTTCTAAGAACTCTTGTTGTATGAAATGGACTAAGTATTGTAAGCTCGTACTCATTATTGGATTCTAGAGGTAAAACATGGATTGATTCGAGTTCTCCCATGGGGTGTGCTTGACGGAAATGTCTGATTAGCTAACTTTCGGGGTGCTTAGTGTCTAGTGGAAGACGAGCGCCTCCGAAAGCTTGTTATTTCGGGCGGTTCTGCCACACCAACGCTCCTCCACAGACTTGGTCCGACGTCAAAATCCCTCTCAGGATGCTTCTGGAACCCGTCGGACTCTCCTCTTGTTGGTCCGATGCCTAGACAGGGCTAGGGTCCGACGCTCCAACGGTGCTCTTTTCCTTGCGTGTGAACAGTGTCGGCATCCAGTCCGACGCTTCCTCCTGCCACGGTCTGACGCCCCTTCGACGCTTTGGTAGGCTGTGGTTTTGCACCGTCGGACTTACATCCAATGGTCCGACGCTTGCCCTAGGCAGGGTTCGACTCCCCTGCACCTGTCTTCTTCGCTTCATTCCTTCGCCATCTTACGTCCGGGCTCGGTTCCATCTTACGTCTTAGATCTTCTAGGTTGTCAACACCTCTCCTAATGTATTATTTTCAGTGTTGATCAAAGTCTTTATGCTCTAAATAAATTCAAGTCCGCTATGCAACCTATTGGACTACAAAATAAACACTTGCAAAATACATTAGTCCAATTTGGTTGTGTTGATCATCAAACATCAAAATCCAAACTAAATAGGCCTAGGGTCCATTTTTCTTACAAGTTCTCAACTTAGACTCCCTTTAGAACATATGAATTTCACATAAATCACGCTCGAATTTCATAGGAATCAAATCATTTTTCATAGAGAAAACATAAAAAGGGGGAAAACCCGGCATTAATGTGGGTGCCCTCATTTTCCTAAACTTATTTTAGCATTTAACAATTGTTGTTTTTCCGGTAGTAAGCGGCATGCTCATCAATAGCAGGGTGTCAATGATGAATTCATCCATCTCGAGATCTATCTGTTAGTTTTTTGAAGAAGCTCATAAGGATGGGTGTGTGCCCGTGCATTGACAGGGGTGATTATGCATACATGTATGCAAGCGCTGCTCACCTATACTATAATTCATTAAAAAAAGGAAAGAGCAACGACTTTCTGTGTTGCCTAATCATAGGGCCTATTTGAATCTCATTCTCGTAGTCAGATTTTGTATTCTAGATAGCGAATGTAGAAGCTGGATTCTAGATAAGAGAGAGAGAGGGGTGTTTGGATCTGATTCTTATAGTGATTATTGCCTTTGCATAGTAAAAATCTCGAAATTGAAGGTTTGTGGTAGATAGTTGGATTCTAAAATCACATTCTGTTTTTTTCTCGATCATGCAAAAGGTTTGCGCGTCAAGGTATAGAAATTATTCGATACAACACGCCTTAACGACGCTTAGGAGGTCAATAAAGTTTTACATATGTGTGAGGTCACCGTTGAATATTTTTTCGTACGCCTTCTTGGCCGACATCGACAGAGACGGCCTCCCACTAGATAGTCCCAGACGCTTCATGACATTCTATAATCCAAATGTTTCGATTTCATTCTCAAATTTTTACCCATTTTTATTTTTTAGAGATCCAAACTGGACCATAGCTCGCGTGGAGTGATAACAAAGGTTCCGAATAGCATCATCATCTTAACTCTACATGTAAAAAAGGAGAGGCATTTATATTAGAAAGGTCTTCTCCTATACAAGAAGTTTTCTCCTTTTGCCCTTTATTTTGTACAAGGTTTTATAATGATTTCATAATACTCTATATGAAAAACTCGATTCGTGGTGGCTAGACAGCTCCCGGTATTCCGGCTTAAGAAGATCTCACGTAGATCGAGAAAACCTCCAAACCCCTGCCTCACCCATACACAGCGACACCGTAGCTCTATGAGATGAGCTGGCACAGACCTGTGCTTTGGACGTGGGGCAGACGAGAGAGTTTTTTAACCCTCGGTCACTGCGGCCAAAGCCACAAATACAGAGTGAGTCCCTTGGGACTCGAACTCTGACCCCCCCTAAGGGGGTGTGTTCTAAACATGATGCAATTTTGGGTGTGAATCTAGCTAGACAAATAGATTCATACCTAGAGTTGTGATATTTTTAGGACAAAGAGTAGATTTGAGCATTTGAGTCTTCGTAAAATAAGCTCCCTTTCTCGAAGCTCTTTGTACACAAAGCCTCTAGTACGAAGCCAAAGATTTTTGTCATAAGGATTGTTAGCTCTGTTGATCTTAATCTGTTGCATATGTCGTTGTACGGTCCGGACGTCAGGAACATGCTTAGTCATTTTCTTTTTAGGTTTATATATATATATATTTTAAAAATAGTTATCCTCTTTGAGTAGCAGTGGTCGGGTCTGGGATGAGCTGGACGCGCACGTAGGCAGCAGGCCACCGTCGAAAGGCCGGCTGTACCGAAAACGACGTACTGCAACTGCAAGCTCGGCCGGCCGACGCCGTGGCCTCCAGACGACTCCAGTGCCCCTGGCTAGCTAGACGTCTCTCCGGCAGCACGTCACCGCCGCACCGGCTGGAAGATCCGTGCTGGCAGATATGATCTGCGCAATCTGGCATTCTGGTAGTAGTATGATGCACGTCCATTCGACCCCAAAAACTGCAACATATGGAATACTGTACATACTTCATCTGTCTCATAATAAATGCACTTTTAAAGTTTAAAATTTATCTCAAAATAAATACACCTTTAGATATAAGATAAATTAGCTTTTTTTTTTACTTTCTCTATATCAGAGATGTAATAATTACATCTTTATAAGGGTATATATATAATTTCTCACCGACCTTATCTCTTTATCTTGGGACGGAGGGTACAAACATCAATAGGATCCAGATCAGATTAGGACCATTCGCAGACACGGAGGGAGTGTCATCGGCCATCGCTGCTCGCCTGCTCTGTGTCTGGTTTGTGCTGATCCCAGCTGAGTTGGCGGCAGCCGCTGGATTGTTCAATGGGACAGTCTTGCCTGTTGCCTGCGCATGGTCCTCACTGGCGGCGCCCGCAATCGCTGGCCGGACAAGAGAGCGTTGGCCGCCTGTCTCTTGTCTCTCGCCTCTCGCCTGCACCCTGCAGCCGTGCGGTCCGCCCTTCTCCCTCCTCTTGTCCTGCAACACTCACATGTTCTTTCTTCGTCCTACGTGCGGCGTACCATTGCCAACAAGGAAAACTTGAAGATACTAGTACGTGCATGCATGTGGCCATTTCCGTGGAGCAGCTAGCTTTACCTGAAAGGCGCAAACTTGAAGCCTCATGTGCGGATTAAGGGCCAGTTTGGATGGCGAATTTTTTTGCAAAACGACACTGTAGTGTTTTCGTTGTTATTTAGCAATTAATGTCTAACCATAGTCTAATTAGGCTTAAAAGATTCGTCTCGTGGATTTCATCTAAACTGTGTAATTAGTTTTATTTTTTATTTATATTTAATGCTTCATGCATGCGTCCAAAGATTCGATGTGACGGAAAATCTTGAAAATTTTGACAAAATGAAGTGCAACTAAACAGGGCCTAATTTGGGCGAGCAGTTTACCTGAAAGGCGCCCGCCGCCATATTGCTTGCTGAATTTTAGAAACCGTGCAAAAAGATTCTCATCTTGCAGCGGATCGGCTTCTGTTAGCCATGATTATAAGCAAAGGACTCGTTTCCTTGTTCCTTTTTACTAGTTAGTTAACTACCACGAGTAATTAATAATAATCTTTAATTTCTCAAGGAATCCCTTCTTAACCCGTGTTTTCAATGATTGATTGCCTTGTTCCGTTCATTTGTTTTGAACCTGGTTGTTGCAACATGAGCAATTAAAAAAAAGCTTGAGAAAATACATCTTCCCTCCCTGATGGCGTTTTTAGCCGCCACTACAAGTCTAGGCAATCATTTCACTAGCGCCCTTTCAGAGAAACAGAAACGGAGAGAACGACAGGCACTGCATGTTTCTTGGAGTGGAGTGGTGTCATATTATGGGTGGTTTTGAAACATCTGACACTGAGAAGCTCCTAATGTTGGATGCAGAGGCGGCGCTAGAAATGCTTTTTTTTTTTGTGGGGTGGGGTTAAAGGGGGGGCACAGTACTCCCCAAAAGAAGGGCCTGTTTGGAACAAAGGAATGGAGAAAAAACGCAGGAAAGGATAGGAATGCAGTAGCAAAACAGAGGAATCGAAAACTCAGGAAAGGAACTAGAGAAGGTGTTTGGAATGTAGGAACCTATAAAACAAAAATTTAGGAATAAGGTGAATAAAAGAAGATGTTGGTACTAATATAATACATTACATGATCTGATTATACCTGTTTTATCCTAATGCTGTCTTGCATGTGGGATCCCGGTCCATGGACGTATTTCATCCACCTTATCCTCTATGAGCTGATTGGTGCTTCAGCATGCAACCACGGACGCGAGCGCTGCAGGGAAAATTTCCATTAGCTGAGAGTGCATTTTTTGTTTCCTCCAAAAGTACAGGTTTCCTTGCTGTTTCGGAGGAAAGTCTCATGCTGGTTCCTTTGTTCCAAACACTGATACAGTGACAAAAACTATAGGAACTTCATTCCTCCATTTTTCCTACGTTCTACCCGTGATCCAAACAGGGCTGAAAAATGTAGACCTTTTTAGGGGAGTGTTGTGGGCCGTCAGTTAGGGAGCCATAGAATCAATCAGAAAGATTGGATTAGGTTTGGACCGACTAAAGATAGGATTGGATGAGATTAGATTGTGACTCCCTTAGGAGTTAAGGAATACTCTTCTTTCTATATAACGGTTATCTTCCTGGCAACGGTTATCCACAAATGAACTAGGGTCACTTTTGGGTGTCAACAGGTTCATACCATCTAGTCAGGAGGATTGGTTTAGATCTGGGTCCCTAACTGACGCCCCATAACAGGGGGCCCCTGGTTGGATGGCTACAGAAATGACAATCTTACACTTTGCTTATAATTAAAGTTTGAAGAAACATTATTGTGACTTAATAGTACTTGTACTGTTATCTACATGACTTTCAGCCTGGCCCAAGGGATGGCACTCTTAAATGTTTCATCAGGAGGAATCGAACTACTCAGACATATTATCTGTATATTGGATTGACAGAAGGTATGCTTTTTTATCTACTAGAACTACACCCACATAGTATGGATTATATTTACTAAGTTTGGAATAATTCTCTTGCAGCATATGATGTGAAGTTCCTACTTGTTGCACGCAAGTGTCGTAAGCCCACGTGCACAGACTACCTAATTTCTCTTGATAAGGTTGATATGTCGAAGGGAAGCAGCACCTATATTGGCAAGCTAAGGTCAGCTTTTGAGATATGATGTCAGAATACGTTTAAGCTATTATTTTTGCTAGCATTTAATATAATACACATAGCCTACAGGTTGTTTCAGTTAAAGTGTCAACTGTCAACAGCATTATTATTTTTTTCTTTTGTCACATTTCAGTCTGTAGAATATATGAGAACTATTTTTTTTTCTTTTGCCTTGCGCAAATCCCTATCTTCAACTGTTCTTAAACATTATGCCAAATAATGCACACTTTGCTGTCAATAATTTTGTGCTTGCGAAAAATATTCAAGACGTCCATCTTTCTTGCTACTACACGTCCTCTATATTAGTTGCTTGAATTGTTTTCATGGAGCAAGGTATAGCTAAAAGGTCTACTAACAAACTCCCTTTTGAGCAGATCAAACTTCCTTGGAACAAAGTTCACTGTCTATGATGCTCATCCACCATATGATGGAGCTGTGGTCTCAAAGAGTCGCTCTGCACGTGTGGTTGGTTTGAACCAAGTCTCCCCTAGAGTTCCGGCTGGGAATTATCCAGTTTCACATATTTCTTACGAGCTGAATGTACTGGGCTCTAGGTATGGTCATTGACTGTCTTGCTATGACAAATTAAATCTGGACTTTTGTTTTGGTAAACATAGTTCCCTACCCTTTACTAGGATTAAGCTCTTTATATGTGAATCTTGGGTGCGAAGAATTTGGTGGTGATAATTGCAAATGCGTAGTTCAATGGCCTCACCTGTTAAACTGTTCATGTGTAACAGTTGAAGAAGCTGTTTAGATTTTAGTTTGCATTTCATGGTTAGAGAACTAATTAATACCCATATTGCCTCCTTTGATAAGCGGTACTTTTAGATGATTAGGGCTACATGGAAAATCTAGATATGGACATGAGTTGACAACATGACTAACTGTCCTGTTGCTTGCTTGTTGCAGAGGTCCAAGAAGGATGAACTGTGTTATGGATTCCATCCCTGCATCGGCTGTTGAGGAAGGAGGGAAAGCTCCTACACAAACTGAATTTCCACTTAGCAGCCTTGACTCTTTCCCATCAATTCCATTCTTCAGATCTAAATCAGCTCGGATAGAAAGTTCAACAGCGCAATCATCCAGTCAGAAGGAAGATAGGTTGGTGCTGAAGAACAAGTCTCCTAGGTGGCATGAACAACTGCAGTGTTGGTGCCTGAATTTCCGTGGGCGGGTCACTGTTGCGTCGGTTAAAAACTTTCAGTTGGTGGCTTCTGATGACAATGGACCAGGGAACCAAGAGAATGTCAAGGTCATTCTCCAATTTGGAAAGATTGGAAAAGACTTGTTCACCATGGACTACCGTTATCCAATATCGGCATTTCAAGCTTTTGCAATTTGTCTGAGCAGTTTTGATACAAAAATAGCCTGCGAATGAGGCAAGGTGCTTTTTCTCCTTCTCTATACCCCTTGCTTATATTATTAAGGCTCATCATCGTCCTTTTCTTAATTCATATGGAATGTCTAGTTTTCTTTTCTCAGTGTTCTTACTCACTAGCCATTGGTATGTGCTATGGAAGCTGTTAGCAGCTGCCACTCTTCAAAGTGGTCTCAGCTGCAGAATTCTCTGGCCATTACAATGGTGATAGTAAACCTTGACCAAACGCTAGTGATTGGGTCTGCGCATATCTTATATTACTATTGATGTTTTCTGTAGATGCTTTTAGATTCAAAAGTAGATATATACCATTGCATTTGTCCCTCTAATGATCTCCATTATACATCTGTTGACTCATCAATAAAATTCTATTGAACATGCAATTTCCAATGTTAAGGATGATGCTCTCCACAGTTACCATTTCTGAGCATCATATTAGGCTAAACACATTCACAGCTAATAATTCCCTTCTTTTCCTGTTTGAACTTTGAGACAGGAAAATAGTTGCAGATTTGCTTGGGCAAGCAAACATTTGCCCTCTCCACCTTTAGTTCTAACGATGCTTTTGGCCTCGTATATCGGCAGAAGCTGGACAACAATGGGAGATAGCAGGACAGCATACATGATAGCCTGATGCTGGAGCAGGAGGGCTGGAAACTACCATACCACCAGAAGTCATACAAAATGATTATGAGCTGCGGTGTGAATAGCTACAGCTAGTTGGTCCCTGCTTGTTCCGCCGCCAAGTTTATTTTTTCCTCTGAATTTCAATACTATATGCATTCTTTGCCGGTGTTGGCAAGTAAGTCTGTTGTGTGGAAAAATGGCTTTTGCTTGTGTGACCACTGGCCATCGGTGAGCTGATGAGTTTGTGAGAATAGAGGTTTCCAGTGATAGTGTGATACAGACGTAATTACGCTGTACGAATTTTTGAGTTTGAATGTTTAGTCAGTGTTTGGGTTCATGGTGAAAAGGGCACAGGGCTATCTTTGTCTACAAGTTCATCATGCAGATTCTTAATCTTAACGGCTTGAAAACGTCCACGGTTTGAACTGTTGAAGCGGCATTGTGATAAAACGTCTCGTTCAGTCGACGGTTTTGGTTTTTTTTCTCCAAAACTTTTTGGAGTAAAATTAAAACATGAACTAGTAGTAAAATATTTAATTTAGATAGGTTATATAGCCACAAGGAAATCATGATTTCCTTTGTTCAACGTAGGCGTTTAGAGGACAATTTCCACCTTTCAATACGCAACGCACGTCAACCATGTTCTTCGTGCGGTCCCCACCACCAGTCCACCACGCACCCACACCAGATGGTATAAATCATGATACCGTGTTTTTCTCTCATAACAAAACAATATCAGTCAGCTTATAAGTCATAGAAGCGGTATTTTTCTTTCACAACAAAAACAACATCAGTCAGCTTATAAGCTATAGAATCGATCGAACAGGGTGGGTTGCGCCACCAACATGACAAAATGATATGCCATAACCATGATCATTGGAGCAAAAATATCTGATCTTGTGATCCTTCAGGGAACACCACGATACACAATTTTCTCAACGCAACAACAAGAACAATAAATACATCATTATCACGAAGAAAATATGTACCCATGGATCAGTACGTGGTAAAAGTATCGGCTTATCATCTCAGCAGCTCAAATTTATTAACTGCCCAGCCTACTCTTTACATCCCTTGTTTAGTTCTCCAAAAATGTACTATGCAAAAAGAAGATTTCTCATTACATCAAACTTACAGTACATAGTACTAACTATAGACAAAATCAAAAACTAATTACACAGTTTGCTTTAACCTTGCGAGACGAATCTTTTGAGCCTAATTAATCAATATTTGAACAATAATTCACAAACATAAACGAAATGCTACAATGAAGAATCATGCACATAATTCACAAATACAAACGAAATGCTGCCGTAGAGAATCGTGCCCTATGCAAAGTTTTGCCGAACTAAACGCGAAGAATACGCGAGAAATGCCTTGCCATTCACACGGTCTGCTCCTCCCTCGTGGCTTCGCCCTGCGGGGCGGCCGCGGCTGCGGACGGCACGGTGAGCCGCTCGCCGCCGTCAGCGCTGGCCGGCAGGTCGTCCTCATGGGCCTCCTCGGGGCACTCCAGCGCGCGCACGAACCGCACGAACAGCGGCCAGTGCGCCGGCGAGAAGAACTCCGCGCCCATCCGCTGGTACGTGAACTGGCACGGCCGGGTGCGCCCGGCGGACAGCCACACGCCGCCCGCCGCGGAGCCGGCGCCGTCGCGCGCCGCGGCGAGAGGCGCGCTCTCCGCCGCGAGACACGCGCCATGCTCCGCGCAGGCGGCCTTGATCCGGGCCAGGCGCTCCACCGCCGCGGCGTCGGGCTGTGCCTCCACGCCGGACGCGATCACCGCGCACCCGTGCCGCGCGAACATCTCGGCGACCGGGCCGTACCCGCCGTGGAGCCCCGCGGTGGCGTCGACGGGGCTCGGCCCGCGCAGGAGCGGCACCTTGGCAGACAGCGCCACGGGCTTGCCGCCCAACGCCCTGGACGCCGCGGCCAGGACGCGGTCGCCGTGCCCCAGGAGCTCCCCGGCGTACCAGGACAGGAAGAACTCCCCGTACGCGGACTTCCACGAGCCCCCCGGCTCCCTGAAGAAGCCGGACGACTCCGGCGACTCGTCGTACCGCGGCCCGTCGTGTGGGCCTGACAGGCCCCAGAGCGGCTGCCCCGACGACTCGGCGTGGCGCTTCAGCCGGGCCAGCATGTACTTGTCGTAGCACTGGAACTCGCCGATGCCGGCGTAGCCATGGGAGCCCTGGTTCCCCGGCGGGTATGACGGGTACTGGAGCTCGCCGTTAGGACCCAGGCTCACAGTCACATCCTATACCATGAATGAACCAAGAAAAGCAGTCAAGGAAGAGCCTCTCTTTAATAATTGATGAGCTTAAGAAAGAAGATTCACTTTCCCAAATTAAAAGAAAACAAAGAAGAGAATATTTAAGTGTGTTCTTCTCTTGGATTTGTCTTACCGTAATGGTTGACCCCAAGAAGTCCTCGAACTCGTCAGCGAAGCTGCGGAAGAAGGCCTCGTAGGCCTGGAGCGGCGACTTGCCGACGAGCACAGGGAGCTCGTCGATGGCGAAGGACAGGCACCCGACGCGGCGGTGCCCTGACCGGTCGGTGAAGAGGACGTCGGGGTCGGCGTCCGCCGCGTCGGCCACCCACTCGGGGAGCGCGTCGCCGTCGGTGCGGAGCGAGACGCGGAGATCGAGCCCGGCGTCGCGGACCATGGCGGCGACGGTGCGGTACCCGGCCCACTCGAACCATCCTCTGGACCCGGGCTGCACGACGGCCCAGGACACCGGCAGCTCCACGCCGTCGACGCCGAGCAGCTTGAGCGCGCGCAGCGCCGCCGAGACGGCCCTGGGGCGGCTCACCCCGCGGCCGTCGGAGACCACCGCGTCCGCGGGGAGGCCCACGAACAGCCTCACCGCGCCCTCCTCCTCTTCCTCGCCTCCCGCCCGCTCCCCGGCGGCGGCATCCTCGCCCCGCTCCTCGGAGACGAGCGCCCGCACGGGGCCCAGCAACCTGCTGCTGCTACTGCTGGCCCGAACAGCCCCGCTGGCCGCACGCCGCGCCACGACGAGCCGGACGACGCCGGCTAGGCGCTGCTGGCCGTGGCCTGCCAGCGCCGCGTCCCCCACGCACCGCCACCTCGCCGGTGTCGCCGCCGCCGCCGTCTGCATCAGCGCGGCCTCCATTGGCTGATGTCCTAGTGTCCTGTGTCTACCACGTCAGCTGCTCGGGACGCGTCGGTCGCTGCGCTTTGCACTTTTCTGGTTGGTTCGCTTGGTGGTCGTCGTAGTGTAGTACTGATTTTTCATCCTAATTTTTCGCGCGCGCGTATTTATGGGTGAGGTCTGGGAACCGAGGGGACAGTAGGCAGGTGCCACGTGGCAGGAGGCCGGCGCGCCGCAAATAATTGCGGGAGGTCAGGTGTGCAAGTTTATCGCCGGGTTTTTTCTGCGCCGCTCGCTTTTATCGCTTCACTGTCGGGTGGTGCCTGTCCGTTCTATCTCGTCAGATCTTGCGGCGCCGCCCAGGTTGAATCGTCGAACGACGACGACGAGGTGGGTGGGAGTGGGCTTGAAAAAGACGAGTGTGGGCCCAGGTGGATCCGACACTCTCACATTCGTCCGTCATCTGGGGCCAGCGGGTACACGTATGTGGATAAGGGTGGCACGTATGTGGATAAGGGTGGCACGTAGGAACGCGGGGGCGCCACGCAGACGCCGGCGAGGCCCGGTCGCGGATTGGGGCCGAATCGCGTTTGTGGCCAACGGTTCACCGCGCCTCGCCGCCGATTTGGGGCGGGATGCGTTTCCGGTCTTCCTGCGCCGGCTTTTAAATCGTATTTTTTTAATCAATAAGCCGTATTTTTTTCTCACAATAAATCAGACAACGGTACTTTCAGTCATGGCTTAAAAGCCAAACGAACAGGACATTGGATATCGATCCGGCACCAACCGATCTGGGGAATCCATGCCGGAAGATGTGGTCGACGAATCCACGTTCGAAGATGTGGTCGATGCGTTTCTTTTATGTCAAAAACTTGAAATGTGCTTTATAAATGAACAAGAAACCGTCTCCAGCCTGTAAAGTGTGACATTTTAGTTTTGTCATCTCATATACTCTTCTCAAATGAACTTAAAATGAGTATTTGTCGACTACTTGCTGAAAAAAGTGATGTAAAGAGAGGGGGCTCCACTTACCACGAGGAAGCGACGAGCCGACGACCTGTTAATCTGTGATCCAATTCAAACAAGCCATCGGCTGCCTCATCAGCTGGCGTCAGACAGCGCCTAGTAGCTTGAGGCCTTGAGCACGACGCCTGTGACCTGTTGTCCAACCAGCATTACTTGTGGATGGCTGGACGACCACCCGGCACAAGATGGGCCAGGTCAGGCACATAACTGGGATAGGTAGTTTGACGTCCA